AAACACACCTGGGCCCTTTTCCTGGCCACCTTCCCAAGGCAGGTTTGCTGCCCCCGGGGCGGATCAAGTACGGGCTCATCAGGAATGACTTGGGGATGCAAAAATCAAGATTAAGTGTTGCAAAAGCCTGATGAGCTTTGTAGGGAAAGAGTCAAATGTGATCTGAAACGGGGATGGAGGGTCAGTGGCTGAAGTTACAGGTCCCAGGTTGAATAAGAGGATTCAGAGGTGGTGGGAACGTTCCTTGAGCTGGGTAAGCTCACTCCTGAGAACAGGACCTTGTTCTGGATGTATGTGTTTAGTCTTCCCTGAACTTAGATTGCTGAACAAAAGCGGGAAAAACAGATGAGCTTGTGAACTTTCTCCCCACCCCAGTGCTTCTGCTTCGCTCCACCAGGGATCCCAGGACACTCATTGCATTTGGGCAGAAAATGGGGTGGATTTCTGCTTTCGAGGGTGTTTTCTGATGTTATTTCCCGTTGCTGACACTTCCATCGCTGTGGCATCCTCTGAGATGCCCTGTGGTGTACTTAAGATGAGTCACTAACAAGAAGTACTTACTTCTTTTATTATTATTTATTTCACCATAAAGGATCTAAAAATCCTTGCAGGCTTCCTGGTCCCTGGACTCTCTCAAGTTCACGTGGAAATGGGCCAACAGCTTCCCTTGAGCGGGGAAAAGTGAATCTCTATTATTTTCCAGCCGTATTTATTTAATCCAACTGACGTGGTGATGAATGAAGGATTTGGGCACCTGTTCCGGGGTATGATGTGACACCTGACAAAAACTCCAGGTGGGTGGGAAACGGTGGCCCAAGCAGGAATTCAGCAGAGGGAGCAGAATGTGGCACAAGTGGTCAGAAATAATAAATATACCATGAGCGTTTGATTGAGATGAATGTTCGGATTGTTCTCCTGGGAGCGGATGGAATGAGTGGGATTTAAGTAGTTTCCCTGTAGGTCTTGTGCTGCAGCAGCCAAAGCTGCACGTTTTACCTCGCTGGGGAGGCAGAGGCTGCCACCAACACCCTGCTTGTGGCAGGGTGGAATATGTTCCATGCAAGCCCAAGGAGCCCATGGCTTTGCTGAAGCCAAATGCCTCCCAGCGCTTATAAGTGATTCTTAATTCTGTACTAAAGCATCATATCCCCTCGGCAGACTAAAAGCGTGCTTTCGGTGTCTCTAGAGCAAATTTGTCAAAGTCTGACACACGTGACACCTGGCACACGTCGAGGAGATGCAAAGTCAGTAAAGATGTAATCACCCTTTCTTTCTTCACTGTCAGTTTTATAACAGAAACAGTTTTATTCCCATATTGTTTGGGGTCTAGCTTCTAGCACTTGTTCTTTCTGTTGCAACCCGGACTCTTGTGATCCTTTTGATGATGCTGTGAACTCCAGATGTCCATGGATGCCCTGTACCTGGATAGACGTGCAGAAAGGTCTGGTTCTGGTGCTCCTCAGGCAATACCATGGGCAGAAGGTCATGGCTGTGGACAAGCATCCCCCCACGGCAGCATTTTGCTCTTCCCACCAGCATTTTCCCGGCTTGGCTGCACGGGTGGATCCAAAATACTGCTCCCAGGCTGATGGTGGGGAGATGTTCTCCATGTTTCAAGTTACTCTCAAGATTTCAGTGTAACCAGCAACTGTGGCAAACTGGGTGGCTACCTCTGGTGGGACAGGCTGTGTTTCTGGGAGCAAGCGGTTTGAAATGGGACTGGCTGAAATGCTCTTTGCACAAATAGCTAATTCATCAGTCAATGAATAGCTCCCTCGCTGAGCTCTCCTGCTTTTTTTTGTAGTTTGCTAGTAAAAGTGTGTCAGGCCAAGCTGCTTTTCACAGCCTGCTGGGGAGAAATATTGAGGGGAGAAACCAGCACTCTGTCTCGGTTCATCCTAATGCCATTGCAGCCTATATTTTATTGTCATGGAATTGTCAGAGTTGGAAGGGACCTCTAGAGATCATCTAGTCCAACTGCCCTGCTAAAGCAGGATGAGCAGATTCCTGGAAAAAAGCTCAAAGTTCAGGAGAAAGTTACCCCATGGGTGGGTATTGCCCAGTAGCATCATCTGGATGCTCTTTTATTTACTGTGATCATCACAACCATTCTTGGAGGGGCTGGTTGTGGTCCCAGAGGGTTTGCATGGTCAGGAGCCCTTTGGGAAGCAGATGTGGCTGCAGGATGTGGGGCTGGCACCAGGATGCAGCATCTGGCCCAAGGGATGGCTGGGCAAGAGGCCACAGGAGGGAGGTGGCTCTGAGCATGGGCTGTGTGTCACAGAATGACATGGGGTTGGAAGGGACCTCTGGAGATTGTTTAGTGCAGGTCCACCCAGAGCAGGTCCCACAGGAACATGTCCAGGTGGGGTTTGAATGTCTCCAGAGAAGGAGACTCCACCACCTCCCTGGGCAGCCTCTTCCAGGGCTCTGCCACCCTCACAGGAAAGAAGTTCCTCCTCATGTTTAGATGGAACTTCTTATGTACAAGTTTGTGCCCATTTCCTCTTGTCCTGTCCCTGGGCACCACTGAAAAAAGACCAACCCCATCCTCCTGACACCCACCCTTGAAGTATTTACAGATGTTGGTCAGATCCCCCCTCAGCCTTCCCTTCTCCAGACTAGAAAGACCAAGTCCCTCAGCCTCTCCTCATAAGGGAGATGCTCCAGCCCCCCATCATCTTTGTAGCCCTACAAAGGGCTGTGTCATTGCCACTGCTCCCTGCTGCCTCCCACCACATTGTAGCCCGACAGTGGGTGAGGTTAATTGTTCCCTGCCTTTTTTTACTCATACAAACTTAATCAAAACCCCTCCAGAGCTTTGTGGGGGGGGGTGCCCCCCCATCCCTGTTTGCAGGCTGGCCCCCACCAGCCTCCAGAGCTCCCTGGGCTCAAATACGGGAAAAAGCTGTGAGAGGGTAGTCCTGACCTTCAGCGTAACCCAGACACTGTTCCCAGGAGGAAAAAAGCTGGTTTGTGTTAACGTCAGTGGTGCCATTGTGCGGGAAGCCCTGGCCCCCCCCACGGGAGCGAAGCCCCCCCATGAATCACTCCGTAGCTCCGAAGCTGGAGCGTGACCAGAGGGCGAGAGGAAAAGGGCTGCCTGGGCTCCTGTGCCAGAAAGGCTTTTTCTTTAAGGTCTTGTCTGCTGGTAAAGTCATAAATAGAGCTGTGGGGCTTAACAGGAAACCTTAACTGTGTTTGGATCCCCTCCTCTGCAGCCTCTGCTTGGCTTCTCCCCTGCAGGGCTGGCCGTTACTGGAGACTCCCTGGCGGGGAGTTGATACCGGGGCCCGTTGCTGTAAATAGGGAGTTATTTAAAATGCTTCTTGTGTGCTCAGCAGCCACACGGGGAGTCCCCTGAGGACAGCCTCACCTCACACCCCAGGGGCAGTGAGCCCAGCTCCAGGCTTCTCTCTCTGGTGGCCGTTTCTGCACATGCAAAAGACAAAAAAGTAAGGCAACATGCAGAGTTTGTGCTTGGGAAGATGCTTGTGAGCCCGGCACGAGCCAGGGCCACCATCCCTGTGCCCATAGCAAAGTGATGCTGGCAGGTGTGAAGGGCACGAGCTCGGGATGGCAGAGCTCTCCCATGGACATAAGCTGGAACACGGGAAATTCCATCTCAACATGAGGAAAAACTGCTTTATTTTGAGGGTGTTGGAGCAATGGAGCAGGCTGCCCAGAGAAGGTGTGGAGTCTCCTTCTCTAGAGAGATTCAAACCCCACCTGGATGGGTTCCTGTCCAACCTGCTCTGGGTGACCCTGCTTTGGGTTGGACTAAATGATCTCCGAAGGTCTCTTCCACCCCTTGCCCCTTCTGAGAGTGTTACCATCCTGTGTGATAAAACTTGTCTCCTCCATCCACAGCCCAAAGAGAAAAGTTTTGGGGTTTTTTTCCCCTCTTTTCTTGTGGTTTTGGCACCCTCGGGGCAGTTCCCTGTGGTTCTGCCCGTTGGGAATGCCCTGGCACTGCTCCCACCCATCTCCCCATCTCCGGAGGCGTCGCGGTGGCTGGTGGGGTGCAGGGTGGGGACCCTGTGGTGGTGTGTCCTCCCCCCGATACCCCGTCACTCTCTTATCCCCTCTCTGCAGTCGCTTGTTGTTTCTTCCAGGAAACACTTGTGCCATGAAACGCAGCTTTCCTTGGCTGGAAGCACCTATAATTTACCCTGATGTAAATCATAAGGAACTTGAAGTTGGGAGCGTGAGGCTGGAATAAAAGCAGAAAGTGGTGTTTCGGAGCGTGTCCTCAAGCTTTGCACACACGCTGGCTTTGCCCTGCTCCACGTGAGCCCAGGGCTTGTGGCCGGAGCTGGCACCCTGCTGGCTGTCCCTGCCGGGGGCTGTGGCCACCACGCAGCCCCCATCCTGCCCGGGGAAGGCAGAGCAAGCTCCCAGCAGCCCTGGGGGTGCAGTCGTAGCTGAGCCCCAGAGCTTGTCACAGCATCTGTCTGCTACAGATAACCACCGCTGCATCGCCTGGTGTGCGCTCGTACCCACGTGTCCTCCAGGAGTGAGCTCTCTGCTCCTGCTCCCCCTTGCTGGGATAGAATCATAGAATCATCTAGGTTGGAAGGGACCTTCAAGATCATCTAGTCCAACCATCAACCTAACTCTGACAAATAAACCATCACTAAACCGTGTCCCCCAGCACCATGTCAACCTGTGCTTTGAACACCTCCAGGGATGGTGCCTCAACCACTTCCCTGGGCAGCCCAGTCCAATGCTTGATAACCCTTTCTATGGAAATATTTTTCTTAATATCCAACTTGAACCTCCCCTGGTGCAACTTGAGGCTGGGTGCTTCTTTCTTTCTCATATCTCTTCCATGGATGCTGTTCTTCCCTAAGGTGGTTGTGTGTAGGGAGCCCCACGGGTCAGGAGAGCAGTGGGTTTGCAATGGCTGATGAAGAAAAGCATGTCCCCCCCCTTCCCACCCCATGGTGCTCATCCCAATCTCACGGTGTGACCTGACCATGTCCTCCTGCCTCTTGCAGAGTTCGCCGTTTCCCTGGTGGAGAAGATGCAGGCTCAGGAAATCCTGCGGAGCCTGCGGCTCCCCGAATTCGATGACCTCAGCCAGTTTTTCCGTAACCTGCCGGCCACGGCGCTGGTGGGCATCGGTGCCTTCGCCGCCGTCGTGGCCTACTGGTTCGCCAGCCGGCCCCGGGCCGTGAAGCCGCCCTGCGACCTGCGGATGCAGTCGGAGGAGGTCGAGGTGAGGCCGGAGGCAATGCCAAACGGAGAGAGGATGGCTTTCGGCCAAGGTTTGCACGCCTGGAAGCGAGCCCAAGGGACGCCAGGAGGTGCTTTTGTTGGGTTTGAGGGCTCCCCAACCCCATCCTGGAACCGGCCGTGTAGTGCACTGCGCCAGGGATTGCTTTACTCCCTAATTCACCTTTTCCGGAAAACTAGAATACAGCCCAGTGATTTATTCTCTTAGATTCTCCACAGTGTTTTGGTCTTGGCTTTGCTTAAACCATCCATGACCGAAAGTTGCAGGCGCTGCCATTGCCTGGGAGAAACCACTGAGAGGCAACAGCCAACAAGATCAAACCAGCAGGCACTTTCTGGTGTGTGCCCATCGCAGAGTTTGCTGCTGCAAACTTTGTAGTAATAGGAAAAAGTAGACCCGAGTCCACACTTAGAGGCTGAGGAGTTATTCATTTTCATGCTTGCAAAAGGCTTTAAAGTTTAATGAAGCTGCTCTGTTTTAAAGAGCAGAACTAGTTCTGAAAATTGTTTCCACTTAAATTAATATTTGAAAGCGATGATGAGAATTTTTAAGGCCTTTTGTGAAGTCCCCTCAAAAACCTTATGGTCTTTAATTCCAACAACTTTTTAAAATGGTGGGAGGAATTTACACCTTCCAGGACAGTTTTCCCTGTGGTTAGGGCTTCAGTGAGACTTTCTTCTGGCTCCCAGTGTGTTCCTGGTTGGGTCACTCTCACCCTTCCTGCCTCCTGCTCCTAAAACATCCCCACTGAACCCACGCACGGGGGTCTGGAATCCAGCCCCTGCCTTGGTCTGTCCTTGGTGTTGGTCTGGATGCCCTTGAGAAGGTGCCCGTAGTGCCAGAACTGAGGAGCCCACAGCAGTCACTCCCCTCAGTACATCTCTACTCATTTACTTGCAGATTTATAATTCCTCCTCAAATGTCCTTGGAAAATATCAATCATCTCCTGTGGCATTGAGCCAGGTCGAGTGCTCCTCTCTGGGCAGGTGGTTCTCCATGTTATTGGGGACCCAAGATGGATGTCCCATCTCTCCTGTCCCTTTGGGTGGTGGGGCAGGAACATGGTGGTGGCTGCAGAGGCTTCTCCAGCATTTGGGGAGCCAAATGGTTTGCGTTTTGGGGTTTCCTCATCTCCTGGCTGTGTCGCATCTTGTCACATCGTGTCAAACAGGGCCTGGCTGGGGCACGCCGGTCGGTGATCGGGGACAGTCCGCAGCTGCTGACACACTACTATGACGATGCCAGGACCATGTACGAGGTCTTCAGGAGAGGGTTCAGCATCTCAGGTGAGAGCATGGCGATGGGGAGGCCTGGTAGAGGAGACGTGGAGGAGCCAATGATGTAGAGGTCCAAATGACGTGGGAAGCTCAGAGAGTGTAGAGGCTGAAAGAGTCTGGGAGGTCCAAATGGCGTAGAGGCTCATTTGGACTCAAAGACAAAAGGACCATAGGAGCCCCCCAAAAAAAGGGATTGAGAGGACCATGGAGTGGGAGGTTAAACTGGTGTGGGAGGGCCATCTCAGAGAACAGGGGGCCCAAAGGTGGAGGCCAGAAGAGTGGGAGACCCAGAGAGTGGGAGGTCCAAGGAGTAGAGCCCAAGGATGGAGGAGGTCCAGTGAGGGGCAGGCCGGGTGCTGCAGCCTGTGGTGACGTGGGTGCTGGTTTTGGAGCGTGGGGGTTATAGTTAGGGCTATTATTTGCAATGTGCATTGTTTTGCCCTTAATGCCATTGAATTTTACTCTGCGGTCTCTTGGTACCACGAGATCCTTCTGCTGCCACTGGCAGACAGCTTAACATCCTGAATTTTGTGGCGTCAGCAAAGCTCATCGTACATTATTCATTTCTAGAACATTTATGAATACATTAAACGGGGCTGATCCGGGCATAGAGCTGTGGAACCCAACAGAGCTCTTCCTCCGCTGCAAACACATACCTATTTCTGCTCGGTGCTGCCTTTTCTGTCAGTAACTCCTCCAGTTTACTTTTTATTCCACAGCAGGGCAGGGTGAGAGACTCTGCCAAAAGCTCTTAGGAGAGCTGAGTGTGGAGTGTCAGTCCATCGCCCTTACCCCATGATCGATGGCACCATCACGGAGCTCTCACACACTTGTGAGACATCATTTCCTGCTCCAAAAAGCCACGATGGCTCTTTCCTGCTCCATTATAACTATTTCTGTGCCCGCTGCTTATGACGTCCTGTTCTTGTTGAACACACCGATTTCATTGACAGATTATTATTTTCGGTACCACCAAAAGCCTCAGTGGAATTGCTAATATTCCACCCCCCGGGACAGGGGTAAATAAATAACTCAGTGCGTGGAGGGATGGATCTTGTGCAGGCGAGTAGAGTTAGCAAATTAATTAAACTTCTCAGATACTTCTGCTACATAACGCTGTTTATTGTCTTACCCTCCTCCAGAGCAGGCTGTGCTAAAAATAGCAGTTTTCACTGTGAAGTGTTTAAATCATCACCTTAACGCCTGGCACCCCCTGTAACTCCATCATCTCTGCTTCTCTCTTCCAGAGAATGGCCCCTGCCTGGGGTTCAGGAAGCCCAAGCAGCCCTACCAGTGGCTGTCCTACAAGGAGGTGAGCTGGAAATGACACCCCCCATGGAGTCCTCTCCCCCAGTCCTCTCCCCCTGCCCAGCAGAAGAAGGGGGTGTTAAGGTGTCCATCAGTAGCACACACGTTCTAGACCAGGAGGTTGCCAATGTGTCGTGCAAGGGCTCTTGGTTTCCCTAGGTGGGCACATCCTGGCATTCTATAGGTGTGTCGGGCACATCCCAGTGTACTATAGGTGTGTTGGCTTTTGGAGACCAGCCCAATGCCATTAGCCCACTCTTGACATGCTCAAAGCCATGGGGCATTGCTAACCAGAGGTCAACTGTTGGTCAGCTACTTATGGCTCAGGGTAACATTAAAAAACTGGGCTCTAAGATAGCAAATACAATAATTTGGGAGCTTCCCTGTATAAGCTTAGTCTTCACTTAGTTTGGTATTTCTTATATTCCTCTTTTTTAATGTATTCTTTTTTTCCTCTCCGAATCCCAGGTGGCTGAAAGAGCAGAAGCTCTGGGTTCAGGGCTTCTTCAGCAGGGCTGCAAGCCCTCCACGAAGCAGTTCATTGGGGTCTTTGCTCAAAACCGCCCAGAGGTGAGATTTTTTTTAAGTACAACTTGATGCTGTATTAATAATGTTCCTGACTTGTGAGCTCGCTTTATACTTGAAGCTTGTTGTCAAGTGTGTTAAATCTGCTTCCATGGTCCCCTTCTCACCTTCATGCCTTGATGTCCTCCTGCAGTGGATCATTTCTGAGCTGGCTTGCTACACCTACTCCATGGTGGTGGTTCCCCTCTACGACACCTTGGGTCCCGGAGCCATTCGTTACATCGTCAACACAGGTAAAAAAAAATGGATGTAATCCTCTCAGAAATGAGTTTTGTTGCTCAGAATGGTTTATTTTGGTGGTTTTACTCATCGAGAGTCTTGAAGCCACTTGGAGATGTTTCTGGGGAGCTGTGTCCCCGAGCTGGGTCAGGGCTGTCTCTGCTGCATGTCCCACGCGCCCGGCCGTGCACAGCCATGGATGGGGATGCTCTGACAGCAGGAATTACTCCACGGCCACCCACTCCTGTGCTGCTTCGTATTCTGCCTCTTAGATTTTTTAGCCCACACAGTGAGCAATTTCAGTATTTTGAACCGAATCCCAGAGTAATTGTAGATGTCAGCTCCAGCTTCAGCACTCATTTAGGTTAGCGAAAATTGCAGTAATTTTCTAAGAGAAATGTATGTTATATTCTAGGGTTCCTGATGTTAGCCTGAAGTCAATATCAGAACTGGTATAACGTTAGCTATGAGCCAGCAGCCTGTCTTGCATTAAAAAAGATTTACTGTAAACAACTCGTTTGGCTGCTTTTCTTCCAGCTGACATTTCCACAGTCATCTGCGACAAACCTGAAAAAGCCAGAATACTCCTCGACCACGTGGAGAGGAGAGAAACACCGGGTCTGAGCTCCATCATCCTGATGGACCCCTTTGAGAAGGAGCTGACGGAGAGAGGAAGGCGCTGCGGGGTTCGCATCCAGACCATGCAGGAGGTGGAGGTAAGTTGGCTCTCCTCCTCCTTTTAATATATCTTGTAGATTCTTTAAAAAGGCAGTAAAATACCTAGGGATTTGTGAACTGCATGGCAGGTTCAGTGTCTGGAGAGCCGAAAAGAGCAGCTTGTGGCTGATAATACCGATGCGCAGAGCAGCTGCCTCTTAGTGTTATTCCTTGTTGATAGGAGCCAACGTTTCAAACCTTCCTGCTCAAACGAGATATCAGCTGCTATTTAAGCCTGGGAAGGGTTGTTGCTGTTCGAGACACCGTCCTCCTACACGTAAACCTACAGCCTTACACTTTTATGAAACAGCCTGGAATCCAGCTCAACCATCCCAAGCACTGTCTGGGATCCAGGAATGGCATTGGAGTTGACGCAAGAGGCTTTGTAGAGAAAAGATGACCTAAGTGTTAGCCACAATTTCTTCTGCTCTAGCTCACGCTTCCCCCTTAGCAGTTGGCAGCTCGTTAGCAAGTGGGTTACACCACAGGAGTTGAAGTGGAAATCATTTATTATTTTTTTTTCCCCCCTCTAATCTCTTTCAGGACTGTGGCCGTGAGAGTCGTTAGCAAGTGGGTTACACCACAGGAGTTAAAGTGGAAATCGTTTATTTTTTTTTTTTTCCCCTCTAATCTCTTTCAGGACTGTGGCCGTGAGAGTCGGCACGTGCCTGTGGTGAGTGTTGGTGTGTTGCTTTCCCCACCTAGTCGGCACGTGCCTGTGGTGAGTGTTGGTGCTCTGCTTTCCCCACCTGCAATTACAGGCCACTACCTCATATTTATTGCACTGAGAAGAGAGGGAAGGGTTTGCTCCGGGCCCAAGGAAGTCCCTGTGTCCCCAGGGCAGTGTCCTGGGACCCTCTCGGGGGTGGGAGGCAGTGGAGGAGCCCAGGGACTGTCCATAGACCCACTGGAGATGGGCGGTATTTGCTTCATAACCTCCTCCTGGGACAATTAACTGAGATAGCTCATCCTTGCTGAACGTGTTAATTAGACAGTAATTAAATGCCCATTCTTAAGCCACACCGATTCCACTAGCGTACCCAGGTGGCACAGGGGGAATGTGTTTGCACCCTTGGCTTTCTGCTGGGGCTTCTACAGCTCAGGAACGCTACCCGGCAGCATTTCTCTGGGATATTTCGGGAAAATTGCGTTGATGTTTTCCACTGGCTGCTCATACACGTGCAAAACTTGCAAAAGGGGCCTCTGAATTTCAGGCCACTTATTTATTCATCGGGGACCCGAAATAGCACACATGTGCAGCTGTGCTGAGAATACAGAGAGATTACTGGAAATGGGAGCCATCGGAAGCTTCAGAAAGTTGTCCCTTGTTGTGGATAACCACGCCTTTCCAGAATTTATCTGGAAAACAGTAAATTATCTCAAGTTTTCCCACACATCTACAGGTATAGATGGTGTCTTTGAAAATACTAGCTGCAAGACAAATATTCCATCACAATCGTCTTACACTAAAGCATGCCCTTAATGCAGCTGGAAGAAAACATATGGGAGGACTAGAGTCTGCATCAGCTGAAGAAACCAGATAAAAAAGAGCTTTATGATGTTCTTTTATATTTGCCAAGGGGAATGAAAGCTTTTTCTGACAGAGATGAAACATAATGTGTTTGATCTTTCAGTTTATAGAATGACAACAGTCTGCCATTGACCCTTCTGCGTGTGATTGATGTGATTTTTCTTATTCTCTTTGTGTATTTCCAGCCTCCTCGACCAGAAGATCTCTCGATTGTGTGCTTTACTAGTGGCACTACAGGTAAGAGAAGATGTGTTTTAATCTCGACATGTTAGAATAGATTATTGAATTATTTATTAGCACCACCTCAATCTGTGCAAATGTGCTGTTGTACCGATAGGGCAGTTTCTATGCATTTTTAGTATTTAAGAACATATATGTACACATGTTTCTGTAGATTGCAAATTAAAAATAATGATATATTTATTTTTCAATTGAATTCCCTGACATACACTTTGGCAGCACAATTTTGCAGTTGTCTGGAAATCTGCCCATGTTTCTGCTGCCCCTTTTGCAGTGTAGTTATGAAGCGCATGATGGATTGGTATTTATATTCTGCAGTTGTTTAAAAAAAAAACAACCAGAAATGCGGGTCCACAGCTTTCCATTCCCTTTATCCTAAGCACACCAACGTCCTCGGCACCTCCGTCTCCTCTGCAGTGTGTCCCAGCTTGCTCACGTGGTTGTCCATGTCCTTGGGTTGGCCCTGAGGCACCACGTGTTGGGGACAAGCCTGGGCAGCCCATGCTGCTGGTGGTTGTGTGCTGGTGGTTGTGTCTTTTTCTTGGAGAGGAGCAGCAGCATTTTCCTGCCTGTTCTTAGCAGACACAGTGCTTTCTCCTCACTCCAGACCCTGGTTTTCACAGGGCTTGCAGGCCAGGTTGGACTGGGCTTTGAGCAACCTGGTCTGGTGGGAGGTGTCCCTGCCGTAATTCTGGGAAAGGGCTCATAGCAGGGGGCACACAGCTTCTGCTGGGTTACCTCTTAAAAAATGAGGAGGACACAATAATTTACAGGATTCCCCAGCCCTAGAAGTTCCAGCTCCCCTGTGGCAGCATGAGTTGTTCTGGATCTCTCCTGATGAAGGCTGTCCTGGCTTTGGTGCTGCTGTTCTGCTTTGATGCCTGTCTGGGACGCTGAACCTGCTACGGGCAGGACAGGGGGGAAGAAGACAGGACCTTCACGCTGCTTCCAAGGCACGATGGGGATTTGAGGAGAAGCACTGAATTTTCCATTAAAAGAAAAAAGGTTAAAGTAAATGGGTCTCAAGCATCAGAGAAATCTTCCCCAAAAAAGTCTGGAGAGCCGTGTCAAGGCACAGGAGGCAGATCTGCCGCTGGTGTAGCTGGAGGGCACAATCTCCAATTTCCAAAGCAGTTCTGAGCACATTTTCTCCCCTGAGCTGCCCATGCAGAGAAACACACGTGGTGCTGCCAGAGCAGGGCTGCTTACCTTAACACAAGGAGTGATTTCTGTGTCCTTGGGATGTATTTACAACGGACATCGGTCAGTGGAGTTTCTCTTGAGGTCTGAGATCCACGTCTGCACCCAGCTGGGAAAATAAGCACCTTGAAACCCAACCTGCCAGGCTGGGCTGGTGCCCACGAGCCCCTCCGTCCAACGTGTGAGTGCAGGAGTGGTGGTGGTGGTTGGCAAAGACATCAGCCCCAGCTCTGTCTCCGAGCTCCAGAGGAGGACGAAAATGGGACCAAACCTGTTCATCCACAAGTTTTTGGGACTGAGCTACTCAAAGGCACCTGGAACGTCAAATAGGAATCTTCAGGAAAATACACTGTGTTCAAAATGTCCTGCTTCAGACCAATAAATGGGTGTGATAATTACTACTCTTGTTTGGGCCTTTATTCCGTTATTTTCGAGGCTGGGTGGGAGCAGTGTTGGCCAAGCCAGGAGGACGGAGGGCTTGTCCCCTGTGCCCAGAGGCTGTTGGCGACCCAGCCTGCAAAATGCTCTAAAACCATGAGGATTAGGTGTTATTTTCCTGTGCTGAGACTGATTCACAAAACGCCAGTGCCCCTTCCCCATCTGAGGAAGCCAGAGTGAAGTTCTGGCCGATTTATAACGTTGGGAGGCTGTTGCACCCCCCGTTAATTGTCACGATGATGCACAGCTCCTGTGGGCATCCCTGTGGCCGGGAAAGCTCCTCCGGTCGGCTTCCGCATGGTGGGGTGATCAAATTAAAGCCATCTGCTCAAAAACGTGCTGGAGAGGGAGAGAGGCTGGCTCTGTAATCTTTCTTCGAGCTGAGCTACACCTTCGTTTGGGGAACGAACCCTTTGGGGGTGATGAGGAGGGTCAGTGAGGTGGCAGGAGGACACGTGCTGCAGGGGTGGGGCTCTCAGCTCTGGTTTGTGTCCTCAGAGCCTTCAACCTGTGCATTCTCTATTTAACAAACACCACATTTTTGGCGTACAAACAGATTAAAATGTGTAAAAATTGTATTACGGTGCAAAGGGGGATTCTCGGCTGCGGGGAGAAAAAGAAGGTAAAAAAGTAAATTCTGATGGACAACAGTGAGGTGACACGTTGGGGCTTTGCCATCTCCTTGTCTCCAGGTCCCCTCTGCTCTGCTGCTGGCAAGTGAGGTGGCAGGAGGACACGTGCTGCAGGGGTGGGGCTCTCAGCTCTGGTTTGTGTCCTCAGAGCCTTCAACCTGTGCATTCTCTATTTAACAAACACCACATTTTTGGCGTACAAACAGATTAAAATGTGTAAAAATTGTATTACGGTGCAAAGGGGGATTCTCGGCTGCGGGGAGAAAAAGAAGGTAAAAAAGTAAATTCTGATGGACAACAGTGAGGTGACACGTTGGGGCTTTGCCATCTCCTTGTCTCCAGGTCCCCTCTGCTCTGCTGCTGGCAATATTAATGACTGCCCTTAGTCACAGCCTCGTAGGGTCTTCTTATAGCCTAATTTCTACCACGTTTTCTGCGTTGTTCAGGTTGCTCAGTGCACGAAGTAAGAGCTTGACAGCCTTTTAAATGGGGTCTGTTGGTGTTCAAGGTAGTTCTAATCAAAATCTGTATGAAATAAACCCTACTTGGAGAGGCTGGGACCAGCCGGGCAGAGCTGGTGGCTGTGCTCCACCTGAGTAATCCCATAAATTGGGCTATTTCAGGTGGAAACTGTTGTTCAGAGTCCCCAGTAGAAATGTTGATGTTATGCCGTGTTTACACTATAATTTTATTCAATTTTGAAGATTGCAGTAAGTGTTTTTGATGCACGTTACTCCACAGCAATAACTAAGGAAGTTACATACATTTTAAAAGTAAAAAAGATAAATTAATATTTTAACCATTTCCTGCTTTGGTTTTTATTAAGCTTTTGGGAATTACTTACTGGCCCATCTTTTAAAAATCTCTCTTTGCTTCCTTTCAGGAAACCCCAAAGGTGCTATGCTGACTCACGGGAACGTGGTGGCTGATTTTTCAGGCTTTTTGAAAGTGACGGAGGTGAATACCCTGATTTAGACAATGTTCCCATGTGCAGAGCGTGGGGGTTGAGCTGTGTCCCGGGAAATGTGCTTCTGCAGAGAAGAGGTGACATTTTTCTTACTCAGAGGGGCGAATCCATGGAAATGGGAGCAGGTCTGGAGCGCTGGTGGGGGTTAAATCCCCTTTCCAGCACTGGCTCCCTGGCTCCAAAGGGCTCAAAGTGCTTCTGGGGAGCAATGCTGGCTCCTGTAAATCAATTAATTCTTTTCAAATAATTAGGAGGGCAAACAAACCCTGCAGAGCTGCAAGTGGTGCTTCAAAAAGAGGACAGGGTCTGCCTCTCAGGATGCTCACACGAGGAGCAGGTCTGGAGCGCTGGAGGGGGTTAAATCCCCTTTCCAGCACTGGCTCCCTGGCTCTGGAGGGCTCAAAGTGCTTCTGGGGAGCAATGCTGGCTCCTGTAAATCAATTAATTCTTTTCAAATAATTAGGAGGGCAAACAAACCCTGTAGAGCTGCAAGTGGTGCTTCAAAAAGAGGACAGGGTGTGCCTCTCAGGATGCCCACACAACGTCGCTCTCATTTTGCTGAAAGCTTTCTGCATACAAAGTGTGTGTATATATGAGAACATGTAAGTTTTTACAAGAACGGTTAATTTCGTTGATATTAAGGTGTATCTCAGTTTCTGTTTATGTGTTGTTTTAAAAAAGCATAGTGCTGGCCCAGCACCCCTATGATGTGTTTCATGCAATGTGTAAACTTGTGTTTAGAAACAAGTGAGGAAGCAGAGTTGCTGTCGCACAATGGACTAAGGATTATGTGCAGAGTGCACCTAACAAATATAAATAATCTATTTTTTTTTGTAGTAAACAGGCAATTTGATAAAGTAACGATGTATATATGGGATGGAGAATTTTTTTACCTTATGTAGTAAACAGGCAATTTGATAAAGTAACGAGGTATATATGGGATGGAGAATTTTTTACCTCACACCCCTTGCTGGTTTTATTGTTGGTGCTGAGAATACTGAGTCTGATTACCTTCGTCCTTGAACTTGGTGAGGTTCCCGGGCGGCTGTTGTGAGGGAACTGGGACACGTGAGGTCAGTGGGATTTCTCACCCCTCGTGCCCCAAGTTTCTGCAGGGCTGGGACTTGTGGTAGGAAATGTCAAGGGCAGCAGTTGGCTGGGGCCAGCCCTCGGGCTGTGGCTGCCTCGGGAGGGAGGGAGATGCAGGAATGGAAGCTGATGCGTAGCTACAGCTGAGTTTGAAAGGGCAGGAGGGTTTATTTTGGACAGGAACTAATTTACAGAGGGAGCTGAGGGAACTTGGCATCTTCCAGGACTGGCCCATGGGAATGGATTTAGTGTCCGCTGACGGCAATGGGACTCTCTGGTTAATCTCGAGGGTATCAGATTGAGCCCCAAGCCTGGTGTAAGGGGTTGTAAATTCAGTATATTCGGTCACCAGGGATCGTTGGCGAGAGCGTAAATGCCTGGAGCTGATCCACGTGATTAGGACAACATGGGACTCTCTGGTTAATCTCGAGGGTATCAAATTGACCCCCAAGCCTGATGCAAGTGGTTGTAAATTCAGTATCTTTGGTCACCAGGATCATTGGCGAGAGCGTAAATGCCGGGAGCCGATCCGTGTGATTAAGACAACCTCTAACCATAATCATGAAATCAAGCAAAAGGCAAAATAACTTGAAAGTAGTATCGCTTAATCAAACAAAAAATGAGAAGTACTGTAGATTTGCTGTTTATGTGCCAATTTTGCTTATTTCAGTGACTTGTATAAACAGAACAGTGTTGTTTTTGGTTTTTTTACGTGAACCTAGAGCTTTATTATAAGGGTTTTTTTTCTCAAATGCCAAGAGGCTGTTTTCATTTTTACACAGAACCGCGCAACCGTGCCAACTGTGAAATACCACTCAAAGTCATCTTTTTGGTCCGATTTAAAACCAAATCATTTATTGTCTGGTGACTTTAAGAAGCCCAGACAGACAGGAGCACAGCGAGTGATGCTAATGGTTTTATTTTACTGGGCTTGCAGAAAATGAGGCCAGCTTGAAGTAGCGTATAAATAGATCTGCTGGCCCTGGCGGCTTCATTGAGACTGACACAGAAAATCATGTGAAAGGGGATGCTGAAAACCCCTCGCAGTCTGTCCTGTTTAATTTCACTAGGCAACGGTTGGGAGAGCGTACCCACAGCTCGCTTGCCCAGGTTTAATTCCAATAAAATACTCCCCGAGGAAGAAAATCCCGGGTCTTCATCCACCACCATGTTCCGGGTCATGGACCGTCGATTCTGTCCCAGCAGTGGAGATGCAAAGCGGGTATAAACTGCTAATACTGGGAGCTAATTGATTTTTATACCCATTTTCCACTAAGCACCGGCTTTGGTCCAAGTTATTGGGTAATCAAGCTTTCAGGATTTTTAATCCATAACATTACGGCAAGAATTTCCAATTTCCCTTGGAAATGCAGGGAGAAAGACTACTTTTTCTTCTGGGGCATGGGTCAGGTAAGGCTCTCAGGGCCTTTTTTTATGCAGCCCGCAAGGCTTAAAACCTTGAGTTAAACCTGCAAGAGTTAAAACCTTGGCACACTGAAGACTTCAGTAATTTTTTTTTTTTTTTTGCATCATTTTTCCAGCCTTCTTTTTCCCCGCTGCACCTGTCTGTGGGGCAGCAATAATGCCCTTAAAAATTGCATTTAATCACTTGAAGTGATGAGAAACACTAACAGAAATCATTATATTTTGCAACTGAAAAAAAAAACAACATTAATTTTTCCAACATGTTCTGATTCAAATCAATGATTAACCTAAGGAAAAAAAAATAATCTGTAGCTTTGACTGGAGTAACACTGGGAATCTCTGCTGGAATGTGGAAAGCTGGGGTGGCTGTGGAGCCCCACTGGTTTCCAGGAGGCTCCTGTGGGTCTGCACAAGGCTGGGCATCCAGATCCCAGGCTCAGCATCTCGTGGTGGATAAAAATGGATAAAAAAAATTGAGTTCTCTCAGGGTGAGCCTCTGTTTCCAGTGTGGCCTCCTGCCCTGGAGAGCCCTCTCTGCTGCCCTGTGTGTACATCTCCGTGCTCTCTACTCCTCCTGCTAACCCAGCTCCATCGACGCTGCGGCTTTTAACGCTTCACTTCGTACGCTGCTCCCTTCCTCTCTCGACAATCTTTCCCCTTTTTGCTCCTCTGGTGCCATGTTTCTTTTTTCCCTTTTTTTTTTTTTTTTTTTTTTTTTTTTATTGTTTTATGACTTTCTTGTTGTCTTCCTGTCAGTCTCTGGTGCCTTTTTTTTTTTTTTCCTTTTTTTTTTTTTTTTTTTTTTTATAATTGTTTTATGACTTTCTTGTTGTCTTCCTGTCAGTGTTTCTTTCCTTTCTGTCTCCCATGCCCTTCACCTGCAGAAAGTGATCTTTCCGAGACAGGACGATGTGCTCATCTCCTTCCTGCCTCTGGCTCACATGTTTGAAAGAGTCATACAGGTAAGAAACCTGCCTGGACTGACGAGGCCTCCTGGGGCTCCTTGTGTTTTCTTCCAGAGTCAGTGGTCTCCTACTTGTGAGGATGTACACATTTCCTATTTGCCTTTAGCACACATGTTTGAGAGAATGGTACAGGTAAGGTCCTAGTGTCAGTGGAAAGCATCTTTTTTTTTCTTTTTTTCCACGCCAAAACCGGAATAAAACACTAAATAACCGGCGGTATCTTGTAGCACTAAAAAAACAAACCCCACCTTGTACTCCAGAAGCGCCACATGCATAACGCCAGGGCCTGGCCATGGGTCTCCCTGAGGTGGCCACGAGTCCAGAGCCATTCCAGGAGAGCTTCCCAATCTCTCCAGCTGCAGCGGTGGCTCTGAGACTGGAAAACAGCCCTTCATCGACCAGCAGAAACTGCCACCCCCACCATTTTGGGGGCAGCTTTTCAAATCACTCTACGGCCGGGTGTCACGGGAGTAAAAGGATTTTTTTTTTTTCCTGCCGTTTTCTACATCAGCTAAAATCTTTTTATTGCGTAAATAAGCGGATCTGCAAATAAAAACTTGCAGAATCTGAAAAAGAGGGAACTGAGAGCGTGGTGTGACACTCGAGATCCTCCTGGCAGGGCAGCGTACGGTGGGCTTTAACTGGAAGCCAGTGTCCCCTGGAAATAACAGCACATAGAAGTGCTAACTCGTGCCAGGCAGCAGAGTTGACTTTTTACATCCCTTTTTTCTGAAAAGAGAGGTGATAATTTGTGCTGAAAGTGTTAGGTGAGGGAAGGGTAATTCACGCTGCAGCCAGTGTGCTAGGGAAGCCAGTGAGACCATCACACCAGTTCTCCCAGTCTCAGAGGCTGCGAGCTAAAAACCATCCAGTATGTGAAGGTTGGATCTGGATTCAGTCACAGCTCTGTATTTTCTGAGGGAGGACTGTTTTGGGCTAAAACCGTAATTTTTTGAGTCAGGCAAGAATATAAGCCTCCCACTTCTGAGTAACGTCTGGGCCAGAAATAATATATTCTGCCCTGTTAAAAAAAACAGCTTGCAAATTGGAAGTGAAAGTCCATGAATGATTTGGAGAATTACAGCCCAGCCTAAATGCACTTGTAACTCTAATTTTACAGGGCACTTTGGGCACAACGGCACCACTATTCTGGCAAACTGCTTTGCCAGTAAAGAAGAATATAATTGTTAAAAAGTCATCTGATGGGGAGGAAAAAAGAGTTAGAAACATTTGAAATATGTACGTCTGAACCAAAGGATGTTCAGGTTAATCCTCTCTACTAAAAAAAACCCCATCAATATAAAGATTTTTTTCAAAAGGGTTAAAAAGTCATTTTCAAAAGGATTCTGAAGAGCAAGGACTGTGGCAGCTTCCCTAGATTTAGCCAATGTTGTTAGTTCCTGGAACTCACAGTTAAATACATACATTCTTCAAAGCTAAGAATTTCTAGCAGTTGTTTATAATTCCCAGTGAGCACACCCATTTTATATGTATATATTATTCTTTTTAAATTCACATGCGTGTGCAGTGTAAAACACAGATTTGGCAGAGGGGTGTGTGTTAAACCCACATCACACACACAACATTCCTGTGGTTTCAGCTGATGGAGAGACAGTCTCTGACGGGCTGACAGAGCAGTGAGAACACTCTGGATAGTACTAAAGGATCTTTTTTTTTTAGGAGTAGCACAAAAAGACTTGGGTGTCTCTTAACTAAAACAGTTTAAAAATTCTTATCTGGGGAGAAAAGTTGACCAAAGGGAGCTGATGTTTTCCACCTGCCCCTTGCAGAGCTCAGACAGCTCGGGAGGGCTGAGGATGCTGCCTCTTTTTGTGCTCCAAAAGCAGGGAAGGGATGCTGGTCTCTGATAAAATGATAAAATACCAGTTTTACCAAGTTTAGTGACTCTGAGTACCAGAGCTGCCTCTTCAGCTGCCAGTTGGCTCATCGCAGGCAGCCTGCCCGGCCCGATCCCACACGTCCAGCTCTATTCTGATCTGATTAAAGTGGCCTCTTTTCTTCCCGAGTACAAAACCTCTGGATCTGTAGTTTCCATCCGAGAAAAGCACCTTTTACGAAGTGGGCTTCTATTTCTGGGATACAGGATCAGGCACTGTACTGCTAACCTAGTCTACGTTGTTGTATTTAAACAAAACTAAAGTATTAACACCTAAAAATCGGTATGTTTTATGGTGTTTCTTAATATGCATTTCTTTATTGACAGTAGGTCCTCATGCTGGGAGCTGCTCTGGTAGGTCTGGGCTTCAGGGGAGAAGTTCATCTCCAGAATCTGGCCGTAACTGACCTCTCCATCCCCTAAGGAAGGGGACGAGGGGAAATCCCTTCTAAAAACTTTGTTCTTCCAGAAACAGGGGCAAATTTGGTAGATGCTGAATGGCCAGGACTGAAAAGAGCCCAGAACTACCCGACTATTTCTATTCAGTGCAAAATTTACCGTTATATTTATATGTATTTGTAAAGCTCTGGGGTTTTTTTGCCTGACTGAGAGTAGAATTTCAGGAAAGGCACTTCTGGGCTTGGGAGGGATGCTCTGCTGTGGGAATTCCAAGCCAGGAGGTTCCATGTGCTCCTTTTCCTTCCCCTGCAGTCCGTGGTGTATTGCCATGGAGGGCGCATCGGGTTCTTCCAAGGAGACATTCGTCTCCTCTCTGATGACATGAAGGCCTTGCGTCCAACCATCTTCCCCGTCGTGCCGCGGCTGTTGAACAGGATGTATGATAAGGTGAGTTGAATTTTGCTCATTTTGTAATGGTAAAATTTCTCTCCCTTTAATAGTTCTCCAAAAGGATTCCCTTACTCAGGGAGATTTCCTGAGCAGGAGCACTGTTTCTGCCCTACTGCAAACACATTCTTACCCAGCCTCACTGATACAGCTGCTTCAATATGTGTGTGTATGTATATATATATATAAAATATATATATATATGTAAAATGTTGATTTACACAGACTGCCAGCATGTCTATTACATGTTAATATGAAATCCCTCTGTATTAGCCTCTTCCTCACTGAGGTTACTGGTGACATTTCCAGAGACAAGGGATTTTGAAACGCCAGTCAAACCTGGGTGCACCAGGACTTTTTGTGCCTTTCAAGCAGTTTTGGAACTTGAATCTCTCTTTCTGGTGGCATTTGACAGCTGAGAATCAGGGACAAGGCTATGAGGATTTGGGCAGCGTAAACGGGAGGTTGGCTTTTGGATCTAGAAATCTTCAAAACCAAGAGATGGTCTTGAAAGGTATTTAAGACACACAGGTCTGGTTATCGATGTAAATCTGTTTGACCAGCTGGGAATATTTATTCCTCAGAAGACTTATCCTCTAAAGATGAGCTTAAGCAGGAGCTACTGATTTAATTTTTCCCCAAGGTCAGGACTGTTGGCTCAGGGGTTCTGGTGCCTCATTAGAGGATGGGTACAGGGGGGGTTCTTGTTTGTAGCTCGTGCTTAGGTAAACACAGCCCCATCACCTCATTGCCTATACCTGCTCTACCTGCCACGTATTCAAGTTGCTCAGATTTCATTATTTCATGAATCCTAGCATAGAAATCATATAGAAATTACAGTCCTGTAAATCTAGTTAAAGTCTACCCCACCATCCTTTCTTTTTTTCCCCCCCAAAAGAACGGGATGAACAATAGCAAATAGGGTACAACAAACCACTCTTGGTTTTTAATCGGATAAAAAAGCCACAGTGTAGTCTTGTTTAAGTGTAGTGCCAAGGGGACGGTGCCCCACCTTCCCAGCAGAGCTGTCACCATTGATGTCCCCTCTCCCCCCACAGATCTTCAGCCAGGCAGACACGTCCCTCAAGCGCTGGATCCTGGAATTTGCTGCGAGACGGAAAAAGGCTGAGGTTCGAAACGGGATCATTAGAAACGACAGCCTGTGGGATAAACTTTTCTTTAACAAAATACAGGTAAGGAATTTAAGAGAGGAGGCTGAAGAGAAAGGACTGTAATTTCCCCCAGCAATCACTGGTTTCCTGAAAGTCAGCGTGGTCCTCTTGGCCTGGTGATGACTGTGGGCAGCTGCTGCTCACTGAAAAACTGAATAGAAAAAGGAAATGGAGCGCAGTTTGTTATTCTACTTTTGCCTTAACTTTTGCCATATATTATTTTTTATTTATGGATTTATATTTTAAGCATCATGCATAAGATTCCGAAATTTCACTTCCAGGGGGAACAGCTTTCCAGATGGGAAGGGAGAAGGCAGACTAAGGTGGCTTTTGCCACATCCCCCTTCAGCAGCAGCGAGAAATCACCGATTTGCAGAATAGTGCCAATTTTTCCCAGCTCGTAGCCTCCTGGCCAACAGCAGGGCTGCTGTCACCCCCTCGGTTATTTGGGTGCTGTGCCTGGTGGGGACAGGGACCCACCGTGGGCTCTGCCCACATCCCACGGGGGAAGGGTTTCTCCCCACTCATCCCCAGCACCAGGCAGGGGAGAGGACCCCATTGATTCCACTGGGGATGGAGATGGGGAGGGGGGTCAGGAAAAGAGGAGTATGAGCAATGAGATGTCACCCCAAAGTTTCTGCAAATTCTCTATAGATATGACTGGGTTTGGATTCAACTGGGCATATTCAAAACTGCTTTTTTTTCCCCCAGGTAAACAAGAATAAGGGCATAGAGAAAAATGCACACATAAATCATGGTTTAACAAGAAGGGAAAGAAATGAGAATGCCCTGCTGTTTGCCACACTTCTCCTCAGTTAAAAAAAAAATATTAAATTGGCTTTATACCAGTTTTTCTTTTGGCTCAGAGGCTCCGGGAGGCTCTGATTACTTCATTTTTTTTAATTTTTTTTTTTTTTTAATTGGATAACTTATCTGGAGACATGCCGCTTTATTTTTAACTAAAGAGACTGACTGTACTTTTTTGTCCACGGATTAGTTATCCTCGGTTTGCAAAGGGAGCCCGAGTTCAGAGGAGGCTGAGGGGGCACAGACAGGAGGGGAGCCAGGCTGCATATTGATTCAGGACCTGGCGAGACAGGCAGGCTCAATCCCCAGCCCGTTTCTTTTGTGCTGGGTTTTTTCTTTTTACTTGTAGAATAAGGGGGAAAAAAAAAAAAAAAAAAAGGAAAAGAAGAGGCAGGGAACCTTATGAAGATCCGAAAAAAAAAAAAAAAAAAAAGAAAAACACGACACAGGAATTGATGTAATGCCCTCCACAAATATTTGAAGGTCATCAGCCTTCGGAAAGGGACGGCATTGTTTTAGATGGCTTGGGAGCCAAGTCATTAAGAAAACGAGGTGCAAATAAAAACTGGAGGGGGGGAAGAGTGTGGGTTTTTTTTACACAACAGTTCCCAGAGCTGCTGTGTGTCCTGACTCCCCCCGGGCACAGGCATCCACGGGAGGCGAGACCCAGCCTCTCGTCCTTCCAGGCGTAGGAATCCCCAAAAAAATGTTTTTTTTTTTCCTTAGGGAACTAATTCTACCTGCGAGGGACGCGATTATTTCTTGTAAGATTTAGCCGGCTTTTTATTCCTGAGGGAAGATTCAGGGCCACTTTGGAGGATTTGGGGCAAGTTCTGTCTCGGCAACACTCGCGGGTGCTGCCGGTTTGGCCGTCGGTGGTAATTTGTGATGTTTTGTGATGTTTTCTTTTGTTTTCTTCCTCCTCTCGACCAGGCGAGTCTCGGCGGCTGCGTTCGTATGATAGTGACGGGGGCTGCCCCCGCGTCTCCCACCGTCCTGGGCTTCCTCCGCGCCGCCCTCGGCTGCCAGGTGGGCTGATGGAGATGCTCCTTTGCTGCCAGCTGGGGAACACGCTGCAGTCAAGCACAACGATGGGTTGGGACCTCAAAACTGCATCTGGGGACCTATTCCCCACCATGGCTCCAACTGGTGTCCCCACAGTCCTGGGCTGGACTGGGAGGCCGGACTGGGAGCCACTGGTGGCTCTGGCAGCGGGCAAGCGCCGCTCACGCTTGCCAAAATGCCAAAAAATTTCACGAAGCCACCCATCTCTCAGCACTAAATTGAATATGTGCAATTAAATGTGCTCGTGCATGTGCTAGGAACTTCATTATATGAGTCTTTTTCTATATATAAATAGTGAAAGATAACCTTAAGATGGCAATTCAACCCACCGAAGATGTCCCCTGCGTTATTTCTCTTTGACTAGGAAGCCCAGGGCAACTAAAAAGCCTCATTCAAGAGCCTAAAATTGGGCAAAAAACATGTTAAAAGGTGTCTATTCAAAGTGTCCCACAAAAATACCTTTTTTCCCCCCACTAATAAATTCCTCTCATAGAGTAACATAGTTCCTGACTCAAAAGCTAAGTGCTTGAACTTGTCCTCTTACTATTTTCATCTCTCCTGAGGTGTGGTAATTTTCAAATAATATGACATAAATGACATTTTGTCCACAGTGAGGGCCAGGGGAAGTGTCCCTGTGTTTAACGTGAGCCCGTGCGTCGCAGCTGGTGGGATCAGCTCACCGGGGAGCGAAACGGGGAAATTCTTTGAGTTTTTCTTCTGTTTTAAAGATCCCTGTTTCTGTGTCAGGTTTACGAAGGTTATGGCCAAACAGAATGCACAGCCGGATGCACCTTCACCACCCCGGGTGACTGGACATCAGGTAGGAATTTTCTTCCACCATTTCTAGGCAGGAAAAGAAATGCACGTTTCTTTTGAAAATTCCAGACTGTAATGTCACAGGGTGTGACGCAGCATTTGCCACCGTGGGGATAATCTTCAGCAAATGTGATGTTCTTTAAAGTGTCTCTAGTCCAGAATAAATACACAGGGATTGGATGCGGGGCACGTTTTCCTGGGGAGGTTTGTGATTGTCCCTTGAGCTGTTATTTGCAATACTCTCATCTCTGCACTCGCAGCCCTGAGTCCTCTTGAGAGCAGCCGAGCTGAATTTAGAAGCGTGTTTGTTAGAATGAAATGCTGGAGCAAAGAAAAGATGAATACATTCATGTACTCAGTGAGCAAACCCAGGCTTGGAATACTGATCCACCACCACTCAATACTTCATGTATTTCAGGCTTTTGAAACTTCTGAATCTTGTCAAAATCAGATAAAAACGAGCACTAAGTGGGAGGTGTCCCTGCCCACGGCAGGGGGGTTGGAACTCAATGATCTTTATGGTCCCTTCCAACTCTAACCATTCTATGATTCTATGTTAATACATACAAGTACCATGGCTTAATTTCTTCTTAATATAATTCATCAGTATTTATAAAAAAGTTCTGAAATACTCATTCAAATGAATACTCGTAGGAAACCTGGACATCGGATATTAATGGGTCTGGCCAGTTTAACATTTCTGGGCCATCTCTTGGGGTTTCTTCGACCCCAAACCAGCCTCTTGCAGATACTGGTGTGTGCTGGGACTCACTGGCCCCTGCTTGTGCCCTGGCTAGCACAGGGCAAAGCACCACTTGCCACATCCTCATCCTTGAGGAGCTTCCATCTGGCTCCTTGGCAAAACGAGACTGTGCAGAGTGCTGGGACACAGAGCTGGGACTCCTCTCCTTCCAGTCTGTCTTTCCTAGTGGTTATTTTTTGGGGGGAAAGGCCTGTTTTGCACAGTGCAGTGCTCGAGCTGTGCTTGTCAGCCACAGCAGGCGTTGTCCCAGCTTCATCTTTGGAGAAACTGCAGGGCTGGGGGAAGCCTAATTCGGTGCAGCTGGAATTCCCAGGGGATTATAGCCAAACAGAAGGTTGGGGTATTTGGTCTTAATAATGCAAAACCGTAAATGAGGAAATTATTTCTGCACACAGACACAGCTGCTGCAAGAACATCCAGGGTTATCTACAACTGTGCAAGCGACTAATCACAAAATGCTAAGTGTTGTTTCCGGGAGAGATGAGAAGTGACTTGATAACTTTGATTTCCAGGTCATGTAGGAGCCCCTTTGCCCTGTAACTTAATCAGATTGAAGGATGTGGAGGAGCTGAATTATTTTGCTTCCAAAGGAGAAGGAGAGGTAGCAAATCACATTTTTATATCAAATTCTCACTAGTTAACACTGTATTAAGTAGTTCTGTAGTTTTAGAAGCATTTTACCTCTGTAAGGTGCATGGTTGCAGATGTGTTACGTTTTACAATCAGGAAAAGAAAACATCAATGCAGCAATAAAGCAACAGAGCACTAATTAAAAAGGGGCTGTGGCAGTAATTCCAGCCAATGCCATGCCTGATTACTTTAAAAGCTAAGACTGAATTAATTAGCTCAGCTGAGAAGAGCTGAATTGCTGTGATTTCTACATCGCTGATATTTCATCGCAGAAATTAAACTTACTGAAATAACTGTTTTTAACTGCAAGCTGAATGCAAACCAACTTCAAGCAAATCAGTTTTGCAACCCCTACTTCGAACTTCCATTAGTTTAAAAAAAATCCATGGGTAATTTTATAACGGAATATATTTTAGCTTCGTGGAGGACAGTCATTAAGTCAACCTTTAAAATATTTCCATTTTAGTGAATGACGATTTAGCTTGTTAGCCTTTCCAGCAGAGTAATAAAATAATTTCTCAGCAACTCCGACTGTTTTGCAGATATGTGTGAAAGGACCCAATGTTTTCAAAGGTTACCTGAAAGATGAGGAGAAGACAACTGAAGCACTGGACCAGGAGGGTTGGCTTCACACTGGGGACATCGGGAAATGGTTACCGGTGCGTCCTGACCAGATGCTCAGTTTTGATGTCAGTTGTATTATCCCATGTAAATTTCCAAGTACTGAACTTAAATTTCCAAACAGATCTATCTTTACCAAGGATTGAGTTAATATTTTGCAGAAGAAGCTCAATAAGTCAGTGAAGTGTTTTGTGGCCCTTCAAAGAGCTCTGTTAAAAGCAGACAGCTTACTGAGTCACTAGGGTTAAATAACTTCTTTGGGAACTCTCTTTTCTTTCTCCTGCCAGAATGGGACTCTTAAAATTATTGATCGGAAAAAGCATATATTTAAACTTGCTCAGGGAGAATATATTGCACCGGAGAAGATAGAGAATATCTATATCCGCAGTGACCCTGTCGCTCAGATCTACGTCCACGGAGACAGCCTGCAGGTAAAAGCTTAATTTTTCAGAAAAATCTTACTTTATTTTTTGTAAATTAAAGATAAAGAGCTGGTGTGACCTGAAAGAGCTTGGAGGATGTTGTGGCCAAAGATCAAGCCTTTAAATTTGATATAGTCTCACCCTTTTGGGTCTCTAGCCCTCTACCTTCCCACACTGCCTGCGGCAAAGCCAGAGGAAGGCAAAGACAGTGCTGCTCCACCACCACCACTGCCTGCACAATTTGACCAATCTCATCCTATTTATTTGCATATTTATACAAACACCTGCAGCTTCTGAAACCACTGCAATTCATCCCCCTACATTCCTTGCCCACAAACACGAGGTTTCCCTTGGCAGCAGAGTTTCCCTGGACCCACAGGCCCAGGAGCTGAGGGTGTATAAGTGATCTGGGCTGTGTTCTGCTCTGCCTCATGCCTGTGAAAAAAATAAGTAATTAATATCCAAGCAGAAAGCAAACTCAACTGAAGGTATTAAAATTGTTGTCACACAGGAACAGCCACAGCGAACTGTAGTTTTTTATCTGAGGAAAAGGCACAAACACTAAAAATATACTTCGCTCTGACGCATTAGCAAATTATTGACATAATTAAACAAGAAGTGATAAACATTTAGCAAATTCAGCTGGCTTGTGCATCCACTTCAGTACGATTAAATGTGATTCAGCTTTCGCCTGCAACTGTCCTTCTCCTTCACCTCCAGGCCTTTCTGGTGGGGATCGTGGTGCCTGATTCCGAAGTCATGCCGGGCTGGGCAAAGAAAAGAGGGTTTGAAGGAACGTACGCAGAACTCTGTAAAAATAAGGTTTGTCTTTCTATCTATCTGAAATACAGACATTTTTTCACTGTAGCGTAGCCTAGTTCGAGTAGGTGTCTTATTATTAATGATCTCAGTGACAAAAGTGATTTCCTCACTGAAAATGCAGTGGGGTTGAGGTGGGTACGGTGATGCGTGCTGACTGTGCAGACCTCTGCCAACTCCCACGTGGGGGGGACCAAGGGTCTTTGAGAGGACACTGGGATGGCAGCAGGAGAGCTTGTGTTTGCTCAGATGTCTTAAATCAGGACCCCAGCCTTATTTATGCACGTTCATTAATCCTGAGTAACCGAGTGGGATCAGATCAATGAGCACTGGTGCCACCAAATCATCCCACTGGTGTCTGTGGGGAAAAGACACTGAGGGGCTGGAGCGGGTCCAGAGAAGGGCAACAGAGCTGGTGAGGGGTCTGGAGAATAAGTCTTGTGAGGAGAGGCTGAGGGAGCTGGGGGTGTTCAGCCTGGAGAAAAGGAGGCTGAGGGGAGACCTTCTCGATCTCTGCAACTCCCTGAAAGGAGGGTGTAGCCAGGGGGGG